TAATTGCAACAGGCTCAAAATTGTGTCCTAAGACAGATTACCAATTCGCCCTGGTACGTTCGAAATCAAAAGTTACATGAAGAACTGGGTATAGAACAACTTAAGTGTTTTTACTGCCGGCTCGCCCGGGACTTTTATGCCAATCTTGTTAATATCAACAACCCAGTTATAAGGATTTACGATTACGATTTTAATGACCCAAATAATAGTAAACGGCCTATGGCCATACTTAGTACCCATATTGCATAACTTATTTAATCTAATCTGTACCTCTTAATATTGTGTTATAGATTTAAGTTTAATTATTACTAGTGCACCAAGAAACTCACACTACTTTGCCTATTATTTATACGAATGTTTTTTCTGCATCAGGCTATAGCCAGCTCATTCCTCCTTTCTCGGCCTTCGCAGATAACACTTCAGGTCTATTGAAACTTCACGCACACTTTAGTCTTTTTAGAAATTTATCTTTTAATTTATCTCTTCTTATCTCTATTCTTATAATTTAAAAAAAAAAATGTTAAAAAAACATGATTTATATATATATATATATATATATATATTATAATTCTAAATATATACTAGTTACTCATGACAGTACTCGAAATAACATATCTGTTCTACAAGGGGTAGGGTCCTTGACCCAGGCACCCTGGTGCTACACCGTTTCCCCCGTGTGACATACATACTACTCTACTGAATTCAAGGTATTCCTATTCCGCGTACAGGCAGGCTATGTATAGTTTTAACCTACATTCGAGAATATTCTCGGAAAAACCGCTAAGAATGCGTTCTTGAATGTTCTCGCCCCGTTTACTGCATATCGCTAATTTTGTCGCCAAATGGGCGATTTCACGACAAATCTGGCAACCCTGCCTTTCCCTGCCACTTTCTGGCAACTCAGCTGCAGCTAGGCTTTTCGCAACAATATTATTAAATAATCCTTTAAAAATAAGTTGCCGAATCAAAAATAAATAAATTATACAGCCTTTTTTCATTAAATTTTATCGAAATGGAAGATAAATGTAAACAGAAACATGGTTCTTTCTGTTTTGAAGAACGTAGTTCTAGTTTCGAAAGCCGATTTAATTTATATAAATAAGTTAGCTTATTCTTCTAATTAAATTGCTTAAAAATACTAAGAAATGGTTACTAGGAATTTTTGTTAATTATAATACAGGTTATAATTTAACTGCTAACGAATGAAACATGCTTTAGATCAGCTCTGGATGTCATCTTCGATGTTCCCCCCGATTCCTCATCAAGAGTCTACTGTGTTTATAATTTATTTTATTTTTAATGATTCTTATTCATACTGTTTTAGAAAACGGCAATTAGAGCTAATATGATTCTGGATGATCAAGATAATTTAATAATCTCACCGGCAGTTCAGCTTCTTAAGCAAATAAGTGCTTAAGAAACAAATAAGCCCTGCATTAGACGCTATATCGTTTTTCATATTTAGAATAAAATTAAAAGTCCTGGATTATCCTCGTAAACTATGGTAAAAAATGCATATTTTTGTTTTCGTCAAGTAAAACACATCAATAGTCTTTCATGATTTCTTATTTTGTATCTGCCTGTTACCAGATAAAATAGATTTCTACACATTCATAACATTGTTCTAACATAGGTATTTTCACAAAAAATTAAACTTTTTCTGAAACAGCACACAAATTTTCTCCCATATTTCGATTCTACGATTTAAATCATGCTTAGATATTAAATTTAGTAATTTTATTGAGAAATTTAAAAATTTATCTTGGCGCATTTTTTCAGTTTGCGCCAAAAATAATTCACTTGGCGAACTTCTTAAATTACGGCGACTTATTTTCCTTTCCTTTTTTCATTGTACACGAGAGGGGAAAAGTCATCGTTCATTACTTTCAAATATTTTAAACAAAGTGCGTTAACCACATATTTGGCATTATTATCGCTTATAACGAACATGCCAAATTTCAAAAAGCGCCAATATGTAAATTGACGTATATCTTAGGAAATTTTGAATAAAAAAATTCTAATTTTTTGCAGGTATACTTAGAAATACATCTACTTTAAGACGATGGTAAAAACTTTATAGGTTACAATTCAAAAGTTTTTTCCGAAAAATTTATAAAAATTATTTTAAAATAAACCATAAATAATAGGCGAATTTTATTTGAAATGAACGTAAATTTCGAAATGTGAAAGCAAGAATCAAATAAGTTTAATAAAAAAAGAGATATTAATAAATATGTATCAAATTCAATTAACATTGAGGAGTTAAAATTTTGAAAGCTATTTTTTTTAAAAACTACTCGAGCGATTTTTACAAAACTTGGGAATTTGGCATAATTTAAGTCGTAGAATCGAAATATGGGAAAAGCATAGTTATATTATTTCAGAAAAAAATCCGATTTTGTTTCAAAATACCTATGTTAGAACAATGATATATATAAATCTAATATATATCCTAAATCCCGCTTTGCTGACATGGAAAATGCAAGTTGAATTTCGACAATCGATCCAGTATAACGGGACATATAGAACTGTCTCTTTTTAGTACAAACGGGCTTTGTCCCTGAAGGACTACTGTTTTCGTTTTGCGATTTTGTGTTGGTTCACTATAAATGTCTGTTTCACTTTTCAAACTGTTGCCACCGAATGTTAGAGTCCTGCATTATATTTGCAAAAATTAAATAATGAAAAATCTGCATAAATGTAGTATGTCTATTTCTCGCATTGTGATACAACAACGGTTCCTAGAGCCATCGAATTTTGAATGATGTAATCCTCCTACGAATATGGGCATGTGGAAGACCAAATTTGGAATTTGTTTTATTATCGATTTCGTATTTTGTAAACCTTTAACGAATTTTTGGGTAACAAACTCAACGATTTAAAAGCGAGCTACGGCAATACTCTACAGGGGGGGGGGCTTTTTATCTACAGCGCGCGGAACTGTGTATCGGAAAGTCTAAAGATAGGGTCATTTTAAAATTATTTTGCAACACTGCTATTGAACTGAATTTTATGGTTTAAACGCAAATAACGTGATTTATCTCTACATATAATAAAAGAAAGAGTCTGTCCGTGTGTGTGACTTTCGTTCGCGCTGCGCGTAAGCTAATAGACCCACGGCTACGAAATTTGGTGCACAGGTGCATCTAGACAAGAGTCAGTGCTCCTCCAAGCGATTTTTCCGAAATTCGAATTCGAATTTTTTTTTTTTTTTATTTTATGTTTTGTGACGAAATCGCGTCATTTTGAGACATAATGGTCTATAGGAAAGCGAGATTTTACTCTACACACTCCATTTTCGCATCGTCATGAAACGTAGGCACTTAGCTATTTTACGAACTTAAAATAAATTTCGTGTTCAATAAATCGATTAAATAATACGAATTTTTTAACAAATGGAGTTTAACACCTTTTCAATGGGATTTTCTAAAAAAGTTTATTTTCAAAAATGTACATTTTATTTTTTCTTTGATTTTTGGACACGTTAAACTTTTATCCTTGCGACTGCTTTTACAAAAAGAATTTTGCAAAAATGATAATATTTTGTATTTTTTAAAAAATTTTAAATGAAGCTTCCGAGTACACTTCACACATCTCACATCTTTAAAAATGTGATTTTGGCAAACAATTTTCCTTCTTATTGTTGTTGATAGATTTTTGATAAAATCGCATCATTTTGAATAGTTTCATTCTTTTAGAAATATGGGTGTGGCAACAATTTTTAATCGTATTTCTTATGTTACTATTTTTAAGAGATTGGCATATTTCATTGTCATTTATACATATATGTATAATATATTTTTATTGATTTTTGTTTGATAAAGTTGTTCTGCAGAGTAAAATTCTGCGCGGAATTTTTTGTTTTTTGAGTTTCTTTCATGTTGTTTTTAGCTTATTTCACTGTTTGTAAGATATTGAAAAGTTTACGTTGAAAAGTTTACGTAAAGTTTTGCATGATTTTTTTTCTTCAACGGAAAGTTGGGTAATTTTCTGTAGACAAGGACTTCTAAAATACGTTGGTTTCTAGATTTATTTATAAAAAATTAATTTTAAAAAATTTAATTTTTTTAAGAAAAAGTTTAATTCTTGACTTTACTTGCTTGTTTCTCAAAAGACTTAATTAGTATTTTCCTTTTTGAATTTTAATTCTTAAATGTTAATACTTAAATGTTAATTTCTAAGGGTACCACTTTATTGGAATTACTTTTGGTTTTGACTTTTACCCTTGCCTGCATGAATGACGAAACACGAATTGAATGATTGGAGAGTTAGGTTTGGAGGCAACTTTCCCTTGATAAGTCTGTCTCCTGCTTACTCTACGATCATTCACATATGCATTTTTTAAAAAAATTGTTTAATTTAATTTTAACTTATTAAATTAGTAGATTTATTTTCATGGATAGATTTTACACTTGATTTGCTTATGCTTCTGAATTTAAATGATATTGTAGATTAGTTCGAGAATTAAATCTTTTACATGTTTGCATATTTTTAAATTTTTTAAAATTATTTTTGGCTTTTTTCCTTTTTTTAGAATTTAAATTTGTTTTTCTACTTTTTTACTTTTATACATATTTGTTTAGAATTTAAATTTGTTTAAATTTAAATTTCATTCCTTGCAGCAATGGCGCAAAGAATATTTAATTAAATATGCACTTTAATTTAATTTTTTTAATTAAACTCAATTTATTCTTTTGAAACAATTTTTTATATGTAATATATTTTTTTAATTCCCCTCCCCCGGAAGTTGTTCTGCAGAGTAAAATTCTGCGCAGTTTTTAAATTTAACGTTTGGTGTTTCCCTTCAGGCATTTTTACGGTACATTTATAAGCCAGAGGAAGGCTGGCAGCGTAGCTGCTAGTTTAATAATTAAAAATAGCACACAAAACGTTAAAAAAAGACCCTTTGGACGTAATTTAAGATATAAAACTGTTTTTTTTTTCTCAAGGTGTATATGCAGTAAAATAATACAGCTATGGAAAATCAGGTATTCATTTACCTGTTTCTCTCGATCAAAGGCCGTCTTCCTCTGGAACACACAGAAATAGGAGACATGCTTCCGTCCGCTCGACCAGGGTGATGAACTGACTCTAATTTTGGAGATCTGCAAGAGGTAACTTGCTGACGGGCTAAAGCTAAGTTGGTGTCCACTCGACTTTTAATTTCTCTTTTAGCTTTAGGCTTGGTTTTTTCTTCTGCCAAACTGGCAGCTATCTTCGATGTAACGGCTTCCCATCTACTTCTTTTGGGTGCTGATATTACCCTTTTTTGGACGAGGTCATTGTTTTCAGGTTTACTTTTATTTATCGTCTTGCAAGATGTGGCCTCGATCATAGCTTTTATCTTAGACATTACATTTTTCTTGGGAGATTTTGCGACAACTTTCTTTTTCTCGGGATCTTCATCGCATATCCTAGCAGTTTTGGTTACTTTATTAGTCTGGATGGACATTCTAGAATTCCTCTGAACATCAGTTTTATTTCTGTTTAGGTTATTCATTTTCTTTTCTGGTGTAGAATTCGTAGACGTTGTAGCTGAAACGCTAGATTCTGTTTTTTCGCTTGTTTTAACCGAGTTTGTTTCAACAGATGCTGCTGGAGTTAGAGTTAGATCAGGTGCTGCGTTTGGTAAGTTTTCCTTATCTTCATTAGTTGACTGGGATTTGTTTTCTTCAGGGGATAATAAAAGGTCATGGATTTCTGTTAAAGTAGCATCTTCGACCATGGTTTCGCATAAAGCTTCACTGGTACTGTCGTGGCACAGAACTGTTACAGTTTCAGCAGTCATGTCAGAACCTTCTGCGTTTCCCGTGTCGCCATCTTTACTAATACTGTTGTTCTCTTGGAAAGAAAATCCATCTTCGGAATCGCAAGGGCCAACAGAGTCTTGTATCTCTTCATCTGTTAAAGGCTTGCCGGACATATCATCCTCTTGCCGGTCATTGCAGCAAGAATCGCTTAGACCAGTCGAATATCCGGAGGTACTATTGCTTTCCGCTATTTTATATACGTCTACATCATCTGCTACGATGCAGCTATCTTTACTTGTTGTTGAGAACCTCTTATTCCCATCTGTCGAATCCAGAGAAGTTGTCATTCCAGTTTCGGCCTCCAGTTCGCCATCCTCTTGATAGCCTGTATCACTGCTTGCCACTGTGTATACAGATTCGGGTCTTTCAACAGGTGTGAACATACAGTCATTATTGTGTGATATACAATCTTCCCACGAAACAGTAAGTTTCTCTTTCAGTGCTGTATTGCTTTCAGAATCTGCCTGTAAAAGAGAATCTCGACTGCCATCAGTATCGTAATTTTTTCGTCCTACATCTTCTTCGAAGTTTTTCATGGCGATAATTTTCATTTTGTTGCTGTCACTGAGATTATGATTTTCAGGAACATTTTGGTTTGTTTTGTTATGATGTTCAGCAAGTTTCGAAAACTGTGCGAATGAAATATCGGATTTCTCATTGATGTTTGTCAGATTACTCACTTTTCGAGTGGACTCCAGAATCTTCCTCGAACTAACTTGCGAATGTATTGAAATATCGGGTTTTGATGAATTCATATCCTGACGATCTTTCTGGGAAATACTGAACAGGAATTCATCCGTGGTGCTTACCAAACCTTCAATCTTTGCGTCACCGACGCTAACTGTTGTTAAGCCTTTAGCGTAACAGCTAGATGATTGCTTGGTCACCTCCAGAGTTCGAGTAGACGAATTAGAGTCGGGTAAATAATGAACTGAAACGTCATGCACCTGTTCATCTTCTGGCAGGTCATTAATATCATCGAATGATTCAGAACTTGGGAAGTCTACTCCTCTTATATCACTGCAAGAAGTTGGCAGATCGGGGCATAGGGTGAAATCCTTCATCTGGCTAGGGGTTAGAATTCCAAGGCTGTCTTCGAAGTCCACGGACATCTGGTCATCGTTATCCATATCATCCACAGGATCTGGGAAATCATGAGACTGAAATGTCTTCAGAATTTCCTCCGACATCTTATAATCATAGAAAGGCATATCATTATAGCGTTTAGCTTCTGATGGAAGAGGTGAAACGCCACCTGAATTCGTTGGAGTTTGATGAAAAATTTCATATTCTTCTTCCGCCGATACAAACCCCGATGATCTTTGAAGGACCGATGCCATAGCACTCCTGTTTGGCACGTCAGATCCAGATTTGGAGGATACGAACATGTCTCTGATTTCATTATTTTCTCCCAACGTAACCACATTGGAGCTGAAGAACTGGTTCTTCTTGCCGTAACCGTATTTGCTTAGCACAGTAGCTGACTGGAAGTTTCTTGTTGCATTAGCTGTGCTCCCGTTTGAGGTACTCCCACGTGCTAAAGATGCATCAGGAATTTCAAAATTCATAATGTCTTTGACTCTGAAAGCACCGCGATCCCTTTGTTCAGTGAAACTTCTTCTATCATGCGGGAAACTTTCACTGGCACGTGGCAAATTCGCCTTCATTGTTACTCGCAACAACGTAGGATCACTGATACTATTCTTTATGAACTTTCTTTCCAACAAAGCTGCATCTGGTATCACATTGTAATCGCTACGCGGAGGAGAATGCTGCCTGGGGTAATTGTTGCTTCTTTTTGCTTCAGTTCGCCAACTGCTACCACTTAAATTATTCAGCTTGGAGACTTTACTGATAGGGGCGAAGATGCCGTGATTTGGTTTGCATCTGAAGTACACGACACCGTTTACCGTGCCGTTATTCTTTCCTACGGGTTCGTCGAGTTCGACACCACACCAGAGCCTTGTGCGAAATTTGTTCTTCCATAATACCGCAGGATCCCTTGTTTGACGCCGCTGATACACACACGTTCACCAATAAGATTCAACCATTCTTTGTGCTCATCCGTATCGAAGGTTTCTTCCAAAACTGAGGAGGTGCTCACCCCCTGAGAAAAGCAGTCTCTTGGCAAGCCGCTATTCTTCACAGCACCATTTCGAAGCTCATAAGAAGAATAGTCGACACAATCCGCACGCGAGGAAAAGCGGGCACGAGGCACTTTGGACTTCTGTCGAAAACTTCCTGAATGCATCCGCTCTTCCATGACGTCGAAGAGTCCATTATCCTGGAAGAAAAAAAAGAATTAAGTGTTAACAATTTTCTTTCAATGATAATAAACTGTAAAAGAACAATCTGTTGTATATGTTACGGTGAAACACCGAAATCTGGAGAATGTCGACTTTCACCGGTGAATAGTCAACATTCACCTAGTCGCTTGGTGTATGTCCGAAATATTTTCCAAATACTCTTATTTCTGACACAGGTGAATGTCGACAGTCACCATGTACTAATGGTGAATGTTGAACATATAAGAATATTATATTTCCTTCTCCGTAATTCATTCGCGAAAAAACGCACTTGAGACTCAGAAAAAGAACTTAAGAATATAAGAACTTAAAACACACAGTACATTCGAAATGAGAAAGGAAAATAATAGAAGTTATAAACTTTCAAATTATGTGATTCAAATCTTATTTATTGCAACAACTTAAACTATTATGACACTTTGAATTGCACAAGAGGCCCTTGCTTTTACAACTGCATTTATTTGTGGAACACTTCCTTTTGGAATGGCAGCGTGTACATAGACTCCTCTCTTTTCGACCTACACCAGAGCATATCTGTGATTGTCGACATATACCGGTGAGGGTCTGAATGTACAAGAATGTAAAGAAATATTCGATCTTTCACCGGCGTATTTGGTGAATGTTGGCATTCTCCAATTTCGGTCTTTTCATGGTAACATATACACTACAAGACTTTCATTACAGATTTATTTCTCATTCAATCAATTCAGTTTTCACTTCGCGACAAGGCAAAAATACATAAAAACTCAAAATATCTTCATTAAAAATCGAAAGATCTAGAAAAACATAAAACACCAAATACAGTTAAAACAATTTTTACACTTAAAATTAGAGTTTCTACGCAAAACAAGCAATTTACCCAGCAGGCAAGAAGGCAGATTTCTCGGTGCACAAAACTGAAAATTTCCTTCTGGTCCCCCTCGGCAAAAAGACACTGAAGGTGCCGAAAGACTTAATTCACTGTTCTGCTAAGTTTCAAATGTAAACAAATATGGCTGCTATGGTAAGAAAAATTAAGCTTAGCCGAACTTAAACAACGTTTTTTATTTGTTGATAATTTTGCAACTACTGCATGCATATTAAGGCAGAAAAACCTTAACACCTTAACCGAAAGATAAGAACAACATAATTCAATCATTTTTAAAGCAAAAAATGAGCAATTTACCAACATACAAGGATTAAAATTCTGCAACAATATTTTAGTTGGAAAATTATACTTAGGTTTGCTTTAAATGCAAATGACATGAAATTAACATAATTATAAGATTTTTCGAATACCAGTTTTTGGCAAAACTTACACATGGCCATTTCAATATAATGTACCACATTCGGCGATATTTAAAGCAAATGAATATGCCTTTGGCTTATAATTAGGATAAATCAAAAATATCAAATCGAAACAAGTGAAATACGTTTCTAAGTAAAAAAAGATTACACTAACCCAGTTCTTGAAACGATCTTCCAATGAGCTCCGTTGACTTTTCTTCGCGCAAAAATAATGAAATGTCCTACTTTTGCTACGTGATGTGAGAAACTACTATATCTTCCAGTTAAGGTGTTAAGGTTTTTATGCCTTAATCTGCATGCAGTAGTTGTAAAATTATCAACAAATAAAAAAACGTTGTTTAAGTGCGGCTAAGCTTAATTTTTTAAGGCTTTTCACATTTTTAACAATACAAATTTTAGTTTACTTCCTTGCATTACGATTCTAGACTTCCAAAGTATTCATTTGCTTTAGAACTGAGGTTTTCAAATTTTGTTGCTTAGAACTGTAATGTTTTGTCGGAAAATCCCATCAGACCATTAAAAAAATAGATAGAATATTTCATAAGATAATATTTAATGTACTAGATCACTATGTTACAGGTACTTTATGTAAAGATAATTAAAGAAAACGTTGTGTTTTGTATTGTTGTTGTTATCTTGTCCATGAATTTCAGGGAAGCATGGTTGTCAGAGCTTCAAGGAGGTTTGATTTCTACTTCCACCCCAATTTTGAGGGCACCTCGGGGGGGGGGGGGGTCCGAGCGTCTCCCATCCCTTCAATTAACCACACGAGAGAACTTTCAGCTTCTCATTTACTTAGAGTGCTTCCACGCCGCAAAGACACTGCAAGGTAATTGGAAACCCTTTCCTATCAATTTTTGTTTCCCCTTACAACTCCCTACCAGAAAGAGTTTTTAAAATCGCAATGAATGCAAATGAATAGTGTTACGAAATGTATAGGCGCGGTTAGATAGCTTCCCCGCAAAGCAGGTTTAGGGTTACCATAAATGGAAAGGGAAAGCACGGTTGCCACATTAGGGCAGAAATCGCCCATTTGGCGATGTGTCATGGACGGATGGAGAATCTTCTGGAATGTTCTCGAACACAAGCCGAAAACTATATAAACCCTGCTGGTACGCCGAGAGTCAGAGTGCGAGATAGTTAGTCTCGAGTTAGTCAGTCGGTGCAGAGTCGATCGAGTTGACAGCCGGGCAGCGAGTGCCGAGTGGGTCGTCGAGTGCATCGAAGAGTCTCTTAGTGTATCGCGGTTAGTCCATCGTCGAGAGAGCGTGTTCAGCTCCGAGAACGACTGAACCGAAGAGTCGGGAGCTGTGCTCTGTGTGTCGTCGAGTGCATCGCGAGTTGTAGAGTGGAAAGTCTCGAGAGTACGTAGAGTTCTGAGAACGACCGGGCAGAGTCGGGAGCTGTACTCTGGTGCTTTGCAGAAGCTATCTCCACCGTCATTGCCTGACAGTGTGAAGGCTGTGTCGCTGATTGTTCCAGCGTGTTTATAGCAGATCTTCGACGACTGTAAAGGTGTTTTGTAGTTGTCCTGATTAATATTGGTAAATAAAGTGTGTTTCGATATTCCATCAAGTGCTGTCGTTGTTATTCATTCCAAATCTACTAACCCCGTACGAACGTGAAGGAAGGAAAAAAAGTAACAACTGGTGTCAGAAGATAACGTAACAATATGTTGCAGGTACTTTATGTAAATATAATTACAGAAAATGTTGTGTTTTGTATTGTTGTTGTCTTGTCTACGAATTTCATGGAAGAAAGCGTTTTAAACGTTTAAAAGTTTTAAAATGTAGAAGAACGCTTGAGGCGCGTAACGACCGCCCTGCGGAAGTTTCACTTGAACGCGCTAAATGCATTACGGACGACTAAGAGGTTAAACAGGGTTGGCTGCGAGTAAATTATCTGATGCCTGTTACTGAAATACATGCCCTTTTTCTAAATTTTTTAATTCGATTTCTTAGAAATTTCTATGCTTATATTCAGTTTTTTCCCAATTAAGTGAACATTAATGCATTCTCATTCATTAAAATAAGAGAGTTTAATTGATGAAAATTATTCATTCCAATTCTCTGGCAGTATCTTGCGACACGCAATTTTTCCTGCTTCAGTGGTAAAGTCGCTGAACACTGGTAGTTCTTTACGATTTCGTATCCCTGGGAACGGGCTGGCTGCATGGGGTTTCCTCGTATGTAATATCGATACGTTCCAATTCCCTTAAAAAGTCCTCCATGAAGGCATCCCTTCCCATAAGCAGATAGACCTCTAGCTTCTTTGCCTTAATAATACGGTTAATTGACTAAGGCAAAGCAACTCGAAGGGTATCTGCCTATGGGAAGGCATGCCCTTCACAGAGGACTTTCTAAGTGAAAGTGACTATTATCTATGTTACATACGGGGAAAATCACGAGAATCAACCATGCAGCCAGATCGTTCGACAGAATTCAACTCCACGTCAAACTGCCAGCAATACAAACTATACGATTTATGAGACATTTTGAATTTACGTACTTTTAATGCCTGTGTATTTATGCGAACATTAAATCAGGAACTTGCACGCAATTTACATTTTACTTCCTTACACAGTTTTCCGAAGTCTTAACAATGAAAAAGAATTAAATGTGTTCGAAAACAAAGTGCGAAGAAAGCGTGCAGATAAAAATGCAAAAATCTGAACTTTACGAATTAATGATATCGCTGACTCGGCACGCATGCGCAGTTAACGTCACATATGAAGCTTGGGATCGCAAAGATCAAGGTAACCCTGATCTAGAATACCCAAACGATTAATTTATAAATAACATCGCGGTTAACAATGAAATGGAAAAGACGTATATTTGCCAAGGTGACCGACAATGCAAACCGGACTTTAAAAAATGAAACAGGCTGGGTTAGTGACAGCACGTAAAAGAAACGAAACCTACAGTAATGAAAAACTCTAAGAGCACGTTTTTCGCGAAAATTAAGTCATGTTTTTATAAAGGTACAAAATCAATTAAACGCTTGCAAAACGCGATGTTTGCAGAATAAACATAAAATCACATCTTATTTATTGACTCTGATTTACACTGCATGCACAAGACTATTGAGATACACTATTCCTACACTATTCCTAAACAACGCAGTATTAAGACCATCTTTGTGCTTTTGAAATAACAACTGAATACTTATCTATACTATTAAACCCCCCTTTTTTTTGGCGTGTCTGTATTTTTGTTTCTTTGTATCATCATCTCCTCCGGAACGGTAGGGAGTTGAGTTTCCAGAGAGAGGTACCCCCCCCCCCGGATTTCAAAAATGCATCGGAAGCTATTTCGACCATTCTTACCTTCGTACGACTTTAATAACCCGAGATATTAATTAAAAACTCTGAAAATGGTAATTTTCGCATTCATTTTTCCGAGTGGCAACAGTCTTGCGCGCTGGATAAAAGTCTGCTTTACTTTGAAAAGTGTTGCCACTGCTCGTTTTCAAATCGCAGAATTTGTTAATAAAAAATTTCGAAGTTTAACAAAATATGAAATAAAAATATAATTGCCAAACATTAAATACATTATTTTGAATTACAAAAATTTGTCGGAAGCCATTTCGATCATTTTCATCTTCGTGACTTTAATCAGCAGAGATATTAAAAACTCTTAAAACGCCAACTTTCGCCCTCATTTTTCCGAGTGGCAACAGTCTCGTGCACTGA